AAGTTAAACATAAAAACTTGGTAAGATACCGTTGAATGCAATGGTAAGTACATGATCATTACCCCACAGTGACAAAAGAGGGGAGGAAATAAATAAAAGGAGGGGTTTAAACTAGGGTGGGATTATGTTATAGTCGTGCTTACGACTGAAGAGCTACTCAATGTCATTTACTGCACTGTTCACAGCAGCTGCCTGATGTCACCACGAGAGCGAAGAAGACATCAGATAAGGCACCAAAGGTGACAGGATGCAGATGAGATCTTCATGTTTGGAAGTGATGAGACACTTTGTAACAGGAGAAAGGATTTGACAGGTTAGCTGCTTGGTATGTAGGGGAGGAGAAGCAATTTCTTGTGTGTGGAAGTCAGGACTGGGAGAAGGCAGCGAAGAGGGCGATTCTGTGGGGAGCTCCTGAGTAACATATGCACTTTGAAGTGATAAAACCTGAGATTACAGTTATCCAGAACACTTCCACCATGAGAAGCTGCTAGAACTTGTAGCACTGTGCATTCTGTTGGGAAGTGTGACTTTATTTTTGTATAACTTTTTTGTAAATATTTAATTATTTTTAACATATCCTGCTTATTGTTTATTTTTCCCCCCCAGCATTTTGTCACTACCTTCTTTATGTTTCTCCTTGTGGCATAAACATGTGCTGTAAATATGTGAGACATTAATCAGTGATTTTGACAGCAATTTTTTTGGATTGCTGGGGAAACCAAAGTAACTTCTGCTGCTCTCAGAGCAGATTAGAAAAGTAATGATCACTGTGAGCACAAACTGGAGAGGGAAAGTGACTGTGGCGTTGAAGGCTGGGATGAAAAGAGGGATCCCAGCTTTGGGAAGGAGTGGACCCAGAACTTACCTCCATTATGAACAGAAGAAAGTTGAATCAATGGGGTACAGAATGTAAACTACGCAAAGTGGTCTCCAGAATTTTAGTTCTCATAGCAGGATGCTAGAAATTTCAGTCACTTATGCAACAGTATACAATTCTAAGAGTATGCCACCTTGCCTTTGTTTTTTTGTAATTGTGAAATGAGGTATTCATTCCTGGAAAGAGAGGGTGTTAAGCTGTTGTATCTTGGCTCTAACGGTTGTCTCTTAGTCAATCAGTGCCCATGTATGCATAGGCATGCATATGTTAGCATGTTTTCTCCACTCTGAAGCTGAAACTTCATGCTATATAGAGGTTATGTTGAAAATCAGTTTACCAGCTGCTTTTCATTCCATCATTGAGAATCTCTAGTTCTGCAGGCTACTGCATAAATGTATGTCACTGATTTTTCTTATGTCTTGAACTAGTTTGTAAAAAACAAAACAAACAAACAAAAAAAACCCCCCCAAAACCCTACCAACCAAAACCCTCAGAGAATTAAAAAAAAAAAATCTATTGGTGCAATTACACTGCTAAAAGTATTTCACAGAATAAAAATGAACTTTGTTAAATCCAGAAATCCGTTAGTTGATACATAGCTTTCCTCTTCCCTTTCAATACACATAGAGTCGGTAGCTGGTGCATAATTAAACATAACACTGTGGTTTCCACTTAGATTGTACTAACCTCTATTTTATAGGTTGATTTTTTTATTTTAGTCTCCAGGACTAGCCTAATGGCTTTCCTAGGGGATTTGCATTATCCTCTACCTTCCCCCCCAAATGAGTTACATTATTTGGAGCCTCTAAAGGTAAGGAAATTAGCAACACATCCAGTCTAAAATGTGGATATATTTATGTTAACATATCTTTAGGTCATTCTAGCTTAAAACATAAATGTTGTACGAGCATCAGGTTTCACTAAGTCACTAGCATAGTTGCTGATATAGAAGAGGGATTACATTAAAAACCTCAGGGAAACAGGCAATTCCTTCTATGTTACAGTTCCACGAAAGAGCTGCGTACTGATTAAGTTTGATAGTACAAGATTTACAAAGTGGTTTTGTTAAATTTATGCAAACCCTGATGTGGATACTTCTTTTAATCACTTCCATAGCAATTTAGTTAAAATAATATAGGAAACTGTGCATACAGTTGAAAATTCAATTTAGTGGAAAATACTACTTTGTGAATGTGTATGTAGATGGGGTCTGCATTTTGTCAAAAAACGTGACCAACGTGAACAAATAGTTGTTGAACCGTGAACGTAATACGTGCTTCTTAACTTCACAGATGTACTTTCTCCCAGCCAGTCACGTTCCCAATTTTTCACAAATGTTACAAACTTCTAATACGTGAAATGAAGTGACTGAAGTAAAAAGAGATCTAATCATAAATGCTATTAGGACCTAAAATATTCACTCCCCTAGCCTGGAGAAATAAGAAAATGTAAATTTTGAGGCTTCTCTAGCTAGTGAAAACACTTGATTATCAGATCGGGAAAGCAGAACCATTTTCGCTACCAAACATAAAATGTGATTTACATGGAAACTCTATATATAGCAGGGCGTCCCCCTTCCCTATTTCACCTAACTGTCCTCTCAGCTGCAGCACTTACATATTCAAGAATCTTAGGTTTCCATGGTTTTTCTACCTTGTGCTTTTAGCATTCACATTTTGCTCTTACAGTCTGCACAAAAGAGCAAATCTCTTTGTGGCAATATTTGTTAGAAGGTCATACAAGTAAGGTCACAGTGCGTAGCATAATTAGTATGCTTTATTTATTGACACATTTGTAAATATATTATTTATGCTGTTGATTTGCCATTATTCTGGTGCATATTCAAACTATAATACACATGGGCAAAGAGATTAGTGTCATTTTTTGGCAGAACAGTTGCAGAAAAAGCAGGATGATTCTCAGCAGCCTCTCTTGGGTTGTCTTCCTAGGATATTCTGTATGTAACTAAGTCTTCTAAAACTGCAGCATGTCCAGTGATTCACCTTCATCCCTAGAAGAGATGCAGTTAGTTGGATAAGGACTTTTGCTTTTCCCTTGATATTTTTATTTATGCTGTTATTCAAGTATCAGTATTTATTCTATTAGTATACTTTAAAACCACAAAAGTTCAGGAAATAACCCTTGCCAACTAATCTCATTTGCTATCACTTGAACAGTAAGGCAGTTATTGCAAAATCATAACACTTCACTGTTCAAACAGACAGGATTTTTATGGCTCTCCAACTGAATTTTGCTCCTGCCACTTACTACAGAACATTACCTTTAAGAGAGACTTGCAGCTGGTATTGATGACAGGCAACAAGACATTTGTCACCTATCCTCTCGGGCAACAATTATCCAGGTGCAAACATAAGTTACCAGATGCTCATTAGAAGGGAAAAAAAAAAAAAAAAAGGGCAACTGTTACTTGTTGGTGAACAAAAGTGCTCCTGATTTGGTTTTGCATACATGAAAGTTCCAAGAGGGATCCCAATCAGTCAGCTAATCTGCCTGAGAGATGGCAATTTCCACAGGTTATACTGGGAACTACGTATTCAGAGGTAGGATGTGGGGGAAATTTTGCAGAAGTACTGAAGCAAGTTAGGAGCTGCAGAGATTGGTAACTTGGAATTTGTCACCCACCTGCTTTAAGATTTAAATTAGGTTGCACCTGGGCAGATAATACTGCTGAGAGGCCCAAATGTGCTGCTTCCACACAGCCTTCCCCGTCATTCTTTGAACATTTGTTATCTCCTCAGTTGTGCTGTTTCTTTCTGAGGACACGTTCAAAATAAAAGGAAAGGAAATGCCTAACAGGACTAGCAGATGCGTTCAGCAGTATGCTTCCACACTTTTGCAATTTTAAACAACTACACTGCTTGTCCTGGGTAGCAAGCCGGTTAACATATGTGCTGACTATCAGTGCCAACTTGTGCATGGCTTCTCTCTTTTTTTTTTTTATTAATAGAACAGTTGCAAACATTGCTAGAAGTCTTAAGGATTGTTTAATTATGTAAGATGGCAATAATAGCTGCCATTAAGAATATTCTTGACTAGAATGTGTCTGAGAGGGCAAGCGAGTGTTCATATGACAACAGTAGAATATCCTGTTCTGTTCAAGAAGCTAGGGCCATTTTACTAGATCTCAATTTTCAGGAGAGCATGAAAGCAGAATGCTCAGCTCTTACCGCTTTGGTGAATCACAGCTATCTGCCAACAGGACCAATACCATATTTCCTAGAATGCTCTGCAATATAACACTGTAAGAAGACTGAACTTACGTATTTTTACTGCACTGACCCTGCCTTCATTAGAGCTAACTGTAAGACATGAGTAATTTTTCACCTTATTTGAACTACCAACTCTAATCTAGAGCCAGCAAGTAGCTATGCAGTAACCGAGGGCTGTAGCTTAGAAGTAACTGAACAGTAATTGCCGCAACCTTGTTAAATCATGAAAAATTTATTTTCATTACATATATATGAAGGTAAAAGATTTCAGTCAATAGTGTTTTGAACAAGCATTTCCAACATGAACCTGTTAGTGTAGCTAGGCTGAAACTTAATGTAAAGTTAGTGTTTTGCTTTTATTTAGTAATTCATTTCTAGTGTGTATATACAGAATTCATTTTCCTGTTAGAATAGCAGAGACAGTAATATTGCAACATTTACATTCCTCATATAAAATGGTGTAATGTACATTTTCAGCTTGGTGCAGATATATAAATATGTACAAAATAAACATTATTGTAATTAATATATTCAGACCAGGTATTATTTAGCAACAACAAAAGCAGATGCACATAGATTTAAGTGAAAACGGTGAAAAACACCTTTATGACATTAGTGACCATTACTTGCATATATGAAGTAGTACAGATAAAGGCTCCTCTTTCAAGCCTTCTGTGGGCATCCAATAACTTTAGTAAAAACAAAGGTAATCGAGAAGCATAAGGTAATTATATATATATATAGTGTCATGATCAGATGGTTTACTAGGTTCCATCTTGATCACAAATGGATAACAATGTAAAACACACACATTTGTTCAGAGCATAAAATATTGCACAACAGCAATTTCTTTTGAGGAAAATAACTCCTGTGTTTGTGAACAGCAAAAATGGTTCTTATGCATTAAAGAAATGACATATTTGCAGTTTCTAAACCGAGGAACATTCAGTAATACTGTCAGAACTGTCATCCATCAACTTCTTCCCAGCCCGTTTTATGGCAATGGTATGTCATTAGCAAGATTTGGCAAAGAGAGAAGGCAGATAGACAGTACGCGTATGTATTTATCACAGGCCAGACCACATCCAATAGTTACCTAAACCAACGGCTGGATAGTTTCAGTTATCTGACAATTTCACCCTTAAAGAAACATGGAAGTCTTCAATGCTAGTCACAGTGATAATCACACAGTGGTAGAGTAAGATTCCATTCTCCTCTGCTTGGAAACCATCTTGTCTGAATTCCCAGTCTGAAGGGCACTTTCCTCAGCATCACTGTCACTGCTGTCTACAACTGTGTGATCCAAAGCCATCTGACCAGTCCTCCTGTGTAGATGAAAGTTCACCCCACTCTCCTGTATGGAGTTAGTTATAAAATCTTCATCAGAAGAATGAAATGATTCATCATCTCCTGTGAAATGGCTGACAATGTGAATCCCATCAAAAGTGGGTTGGTCTGAGAAGCCTCTCTGGCCTTTTAGACATTTGATCTGTTAGAAAAAAGCAGAAGTTAACAGTTTATCAGTCTCGTCCCCACATTTCCAAGAAATGCCTCATTGAACTCTTACTGGATTAAACTAAATGCTAGATCTACAGAAGCAGTGCATTTGATGAACACTTCGAAACTCAGCTGGAATCAGAACAAAGTGACTTCTCACTTCTGGCTGCCCAAGCAGAGACCTTGAAAGAACACCTTAAATAGTACTCGGAGTTTTCCAAAATTCTCCTTCCACCCTCAGAGTATTTCAGTTTTAAGGCTTAATAATCAAGGTACCTGGAATCACTAATGACAGATTCCTCCAGACTATTTACTGCATCTCTAATATCCCTGTGAGGATGCTTTATAATTAGTTTTCTAGATTGGCCTATTTGTTTTGACAGCACTTTTAGCCTTCACATCTTTCTTTTACAGCTCCATTCTTGCCCTCACCACCTAACTTCTCACTTGAGAAAAGCCCTCCCCCAGTCCCCAAGAGCAGGGTTCCAAGTGAATATTGCCTGTTTCACACAGCCACAGAAAAAACCCAGAGAATACGCTTAGTTCTGTCTACACTGCAAGCTCGAGTGTCTTTTCATTATCTACTTCAGACCCAATGAGATTTCAGATCAAGAAGTATGAGAGGAACTTCTCTTTGTGTGGCATAAATACATTGTAGTTTCAATTTTAAGAGAGCATCAAACAAGACAAAAATGATTGTCAGACCATGGACAGATACAATAACATTTTAATTCAAAATGCACTGTGGCTTGATAAACTATTACAACCATGCATTCAAGCTATTCAAAAGTAAAACTAAAGCTCTGAAGTCTGGCAAATCCCCTGTTAATTTAGTGAAAATAACTGCAACTCATGGGAGACATTCCTGAGGTTATTTTTTTTAGAATTTCACTTTTGCTAGCAAGTACCTCAGGGTCAGTTTGACGGTCTAAGAATATTAAGATAAAAAAAATCTTAAGGATGCAGAAAAACATTAAAAATGCATTACAGAAACTTTCTAACATCACTCTGGAAGCTTAAAAAGGAAGGTAGACCAAGTGCTATTTTGTAAGCGACTTTTCACAGTAACTGAGACCTGGAAAACAGAAGGAAGAAAAAGCCTGAAGAGCTGCTTTACAGAAATCTATTTGACATTTCAGAAATCTGAAGCAATATTCCCTTTGATAAATAAAAAGCACATGTAGGTCCTTGCTGTTGACACCAATAGAAGATTTTACCTGTTCATTTGGGGAAGAAGGAATCTCAGTACTTACCATGGGCTTGTGCAAAAGATGAGAATAAAAGAGGGGTTGGAAAAAAGATCACAAGAATCATAATCATGCTAGAAGCCATCAACTCGGATGTTAACAGCATGTAAAAGCTCCAGCTTTTACTGTATATCAAGACATCCCTGTTAGGAATATGGGTACACGCTGTAGATCTAAACCTTGGCTGTAACTACGCGTACTAATGTTAATTTTTTTTGCATTTTCTTCACATACACATAGGCTGCAGTTGTTTCATGAGGAACTTGTTTGTGTAAAGGCAAGCAAAACAGAGTTCCACGCTTGCACAGCATAATTCATGATGTAAGCGAAATCAGCTTATGCCAAATATTAGATACTGGACAGTAACATGCATCCAGAATAAATAATTTTTACTAGCTTATATACCTAGATACAGAAAGCCTGATACAGAGATTCTTGTGTTATTTAGAAATATTATCCCTAAAAATGTCCTGCAATACGATCGGATTAGCTGCCACGTGAAGTTTCCAAAACAGCTATCAATTTTAGTCACTAAGAAAATAAAACACAGAAAAACAAAATGAAACCCAACAATTTCTCTCCACCCTCACCACAGGAAAAAAAGGTCCGCTGTACAAGTGAGTACAAATTTCATATTAGAGTAAGAAATTACATGCTTTTAGGTCTGCACAGTTAAGCCACTGGTTCACCTGAAATTATAAAGCTGATATTCAATGTTAGTTGTTTTGAACATTCAGAAAGCCAAGCCAATGACCTCAGCTGTTTTCCTGAAGACTTCACCTTTAGATGAATGTATTTAGGTAACATGACAAAATCATGGCTTCACGGTTTTAGGCAGTACTCTTTCCAAACACCAAATGAGAGTCTGTGGAAAATGCTGTTGGTGAAAAAATCATGAATAGACACAGCCTTTGCCAATTCCTAAAGCGAGTCTCAGAAAACAGCGTGTTATCCTTTGTTATTCTAACGAAAGGACGCACAATCTGTGACCTAGAAACACTTCTTTTGACCTGCAGCTTTACACTTGCCTGCCCTTTTCTTAAGTACTCCTCACATCCAAGGGGAACCAGACTAATAGGAAGAAACATGAACATACTGTACAGAACACATGCGACAGGTCTGTCGATGGTCATATAGTTCCACAACTTCTCTGTCTGCTTGAAAAATGGCCGTCTCAGCCAGAAGTACAGACAAACACTGTAGCATAGAACTTGTTTGTGCTATGGGGATCGGCAGGCTGGATGGCAACACTACTGAAGAGGACAAGGGGGCCCTGGCATACAGGAGGCTAAGCACAATTCAGCAGTGTCCCCGAGCAGTGACGAAGGCTAACGGCACACTAGGCTGTATGGACAAGGGCATAGCCAGTACATCGTGGTAACTGATTCTTACCTGGCACTTGTTAGACTGCGTCTGTCCTATTCTGCACTTCCTACCTCACTACAAGATATTCCTGAGTAGATTCAGTGCAGAGGCACCAAGACAGTTAAGGGGCAGGAGCTTAAGCCTTAAGATAACAGAGAACCGATTCTTTACGGAAATGCATGGTGAGAGAAGAGACATTGATCATAACAAAACACAACGTTGTGTTTGAATGTGAAGAGAAAATAATTGCTACAAGGCTAGTTAAGAATCAGAACAGGTTGTTAGAGACAGTGGACTCTCCATCCTCAGTGGGTTTCAACACCCAACTGACAAAGCCCTAAGCAACCTGCTTTGAATTCAGTGTTGATCCTGTTTTGAGCAGGCAGTTGGACTACAGGCCTCCCAGGGTCCCTTCCAACCTGAAAGACAGATCACAGCTCAGTGAGATGTGTGAAAAGCATGGGCAGTGGGATGCGTATTGCTGTTCTCATGGCAGCCATTTGGAGTTTGAGAAATTGAAATACTTCTACCTGCCAAAATTACTGCACCACTTAAAAATGTAAATGCTGTCATTTGAATCCAAATGCCTTTACATTAGATGTCAGTACATTCATTGATCACAAACCCTAGTCATCAACAGAACGTTACTTTTATTTTACAATTAGAAATCTGTCACTTTAATCTTGAAAATACTTAAGTTGTTTTTCAGTTGAAGGTAGAATCTTGATTTGCATCTTAATTTTTTTTTTTTTTTAAAACATGAACCTTGATGAAAGCAACTAATTTTTGAGAAATTAAAAGTATCCAACAGAATAGGTTGGGAACAGCTGTGCACTATTTTCAGTTTTGTGTAGTTTCAGAGTTGAAGATACTTCGGGGCACCTCAATCTAATATTTGTTCAGGAGCATTTCTGAAGGATCCTGATTATCTGCAGTTTCTGTTGCAGCAGAAAGGCTTTGTAAGGCTTCTCAAAGCATTTGGAACAACTTGTAGACAGCATGCGTTCTGATGCAATTAGATACCAGCAGTTAATGCCAGCTTAAGGCTCTAAAATAGAGGTTTCTTGAAATGAAAGATTTTGTACTCTCACATAACTTTACAGTCTAGCAAGCGAGGCTCTGCACTTCTAAGAGAAAAAAAAAGTATCTTTTTTCAAGATGGGAACATAAGAAGTCTCCTACTGGCTCAGTGCAATGGTCCATCAGCCTAATATTCTGTCTCCAACAGTAACAACAGGAATTTCTTGTTGTTTTTAAAGGGAAAGCATGTGAATATGACCAATTTTTACAATCCATTCTCTTCATACCCCCAAGCTCCCACTCATTTGTCCTGAAACTGTTGTAGCAGATATGAGTGCCTCTCTTCCTAGCTGTTTCAGCATCCATTTATAGATCAGTTGTCCATGACTGATGATTTTTTTTTTTTTTTCAATTTGCTGTCTGCCTCCACAGCTTCCTGTGGCAGTAAGTTCCACAAATTCCCTCCTTTGTTTTGAACTCATCTCCTACTTGTTTCAGGAATTGCCCCCAAATTCTAGTAATGCAGGAACAAGTGCTGAAAAGCAGTTCTGCAGTCATTATTCTGAAACTACATCATAACACCTCCCTCAGCCTCCTCTCTAAAAGAGATGACTCCCAAGCCTTTTTAGCCTCTCATGAACAGGCAGTGCTCAAGACCACTGATCATTTTAGTTGCCCTTTAACTTCCTTAACAGGCCTTCTTTAAACTCTCTGCATCCATCTTGAGGTGTAGAGACCAGCCTGGCACCAAGGTTTTGTAGTGGCAAACCCATTTATTTTGTTTTTAATATACTTCCTGTTGATGCCCAGCATTGTCTTGTCTGTTTTGGCTGCTGCTGCTGCACACTAAGCCAGTGATGTCAGAGGACTCTCAGCAACAACTTGAAAATATCTTTCCTGATTTGTAACTACTGATTCTGTGTTTGCCATCCTGTAGGTACGGCTTAGATTTTGCAATTGATGAATTACCTTATTCACACTGAAGCTCACTGTCACCTTTTTAAGAGAGACTTCTTGAGATTCTTGCTGTCTGTGTATTTGAACAAGGAAAAAGAGCTTAAAGTAGGAAGTAAAGCATTATGCCAAGATCTTGTCATTTGTGTAGCCAAGCGTATCAGGATAACGGGAAATCTGACTACGGACTCGGAGCCAGGGTTGGGGGGTGCATGGACCCAACCCTAACATCCCCCCCAAATCCTAGATCTACTCTATCCTTATCATTCCACTTGAAGGGAAAAACCCAGCCCTTTTTCTTGCAGCCATGTTGAGCAGAGTATGGATTTACACCCCAGGGTCTATCACTTCTGTTCTCTTTTGTACAAAGAGCCAACATTGGTTAAAGCCTTTCACAGTTTTGGGT